GGCAGATCTGCTCCGTGGTGGACCCCAGAGTGCATGGCAGCCTTCGCCGAGTACAAAAGCGCGATAACTCCCAGTCAACGGGCACTCAGCGCGAAAAAGCTCCGATCAGTTGTGAAGACCTCGAAAAAGGAGTTCAAAACCCAACAGGTCGAATCAATTACTACGCCGACTGATGTATTCAAGCTAATGAGAATGGATAACCCCAGACAGGCTAGTATCCCTCCGCCACTGAACCATAATGGGACGTTGATAACAGATCCATTAAAACGGGCCACGATCCTTCGCGACTCCCTCCTGGCACGATTTCAGGCATCAGACGACTTGTCACCATGTACAGTCGCGAGCTGCAGTCGGATATCATGGGAAGAGGGCGTAACAGATGAAGAGGTCCGAGCCTGTACCATTGGTTGCGGAAATACGGCCCCAGGAGCAGACGGAGTCTCCGTAAACCTGCTGGAGGCGTGTTAAAATACAATTGGGCCTTGGATTTCCCAACTGTTCCGAGCTTGCATTCTGCTTGGCACCCATCCAAAGTGTTTCAAATTAGCCGAGGTGGTCCTCCTTCAAAAGAACGATAGAGACCCAACGACAATCAAGGGTTGGAGACCAATCGCTCTTCTCTCATGCTTGGGAAAAGGGTTAGAAAGGCTCTTAGCTAAGCGGATGGCACACCTTGCAGTTATCCATGATGTAGTCGGCCGGCAACAGTTTGGTGCACTGCCTAAGCGCTCAGCAACGGATCTAGTCTCATGTGTGGTCCACGACATCGAAGAGGCAAATTCACAAGGATGGGCAGCTACTTTTGTAACGTTGGACGTTCAAGGAGCATTCGACGCGGTACTCCATAATCGATTAGTAAGGAGGATGCAGGAGCAGGGATGGCCGGAGTCTATTCTCAAATGGACTAGCTCCTTCCTCGCCAATTGTATGGTTCAAGTGCGATACTCTGGGGGAGTCACTGCCAAGAGAGAGCTAGTGTGCGGAGTTCCACAGGGCTCACCGATCTCGCCACTTCTCTTCCTTCTATATATGGCAGAGCCCATGCGAAGTGGAACCCCGGGTCTGAGGTTTAGCTACGCCGACGATATTGGTATCCTTGGATTTGGCCGGACGATTGCAGAGTCTGCAGCCGCAGCACAGGACGAGGTCAATAACCTACTAGACTGGGCTCGAAATAACGCCGTCGCTTTCGATACAGACAAGTCCGAAGTCGTACAATTCCCTGGACGATACCGCGAAACATCGATTGGAATTTTTGTCAACAGAACCCTCATAGAACCGTCGAAAAATGTCCGCTGGCTTGGTGTGTACCTCGATCCTCGACTAAACTTCAAACACCACGTCACAACCTGGTGTGGCAAAGCGTTGAAAATTGCACAGCACATGCGTCGCTTCAATACAGCCTACCGAGGAGCCGCTCCTGGGGCGTTGGTTAAAGCGATCGACACATGTATCGTCCCAATCGCAACGTACGGAGCTGACGTCTGGTGGCCTGGCCTAAGACGCCCAACAGTACGAGGGATGGTGACACCGCCCACTGCTGGCCTATGTAGTATGATTGACAAGGCTGTCTTAATGGGTCTTAGGTCAGCACTACCGGTAATGAGGACAACCCCTAACGCCGTACTACATAGGGAAGGAGGAATACCAACCGGGAAAATCATACTCGAAGGAAACCGACTTCGCCTCTCTGCCAGAATGCAAACACTTGACGACCGCCATCCGCTCAGGATCCGTGCTGCAGTTTGCCCAAATGTCGGTACGCGAAAATATAAAAAGCACAATCGAAAATCTGCGCGTCCTGAAATTCAAATGTCACGGGCTCAGCGTGCTTATAGATAGCTACCAGAGGCAGAGGCCGCGGAAACTCTTGCCCCACCATTTTATCAATCGCGGCCGGGTTCGAAGGTTGGTTCGAGAAAAGACCAAGTAGAAGCCTGTAAACTTTGGATCACTAATGTGCCAAAGTCAGAAATTTGTGCTTACTCGGACGGAGCATCGGAGGGAAAGGGACGCTCAGCTTGGGGGTTTGTCCTAAAGCTGGATGGGAAAACTTTTCAAAAAGCAAGTGGCATAAAGCACGGTGGAGAGGCTTTAGATGCAGAGATTACGGGGGCACAGGAAGCTCTTAAAGCAGCGTTGGGTCACCTAAGAGGGAAGGAGTACCTGGCGAAGGGAACGACGCAGTGCATTAATTTGTTGATGGATAGTCGACATGCGATAAATGCACTGAGCACGGGCAGGTCCTCGACCAGCCACGAGGAAGTACGAAAGTTTCGCGAATTATCTGGGCTAGCTCAGGTAAGAATAAAGTGGGTACCAGGACACTCGGGACTACATGGAAATGAGGAAGCAGACGCAGCGGCCAAATCCGCTCTACGAACGCTTCCCAGCGTGGAAACTGAGCCAGCAACCACCACGACAGCATTTTTACACCAAAAATTGCATCGACAGCGACAGACTTTGCTCGACAGCTGGTGGAATGAAACTTGCCCGTCACGGTATCGTGAGCTAGATCTGCTCATGCGCCGTCGTAAACCACCAGAACTGGGGCTTTCCAGGCTACAGTTACGACATCTCATTGCAGCCCGTACGAGCCACGGCAATTTCGCGGCGTACCATCGTCGCTTCAACAATCCGCACGCTATTACAGAGTGCATCTGTGGGGAGGAAACCACCCCTACCCACTTCATACATTGTCGACTCAACGCAAATATCACGCGTCGAATCAGAGGGTCATTGTCACACAATGCCTTATACAAGCTACTCGGGCCTAAGTGCTTCGAGAGCTTCAAACAATTTGCGCAGGATACCAATTGTTTTGGGTATTCTCCTGTGCATCCATCTCCTACTCTCAGTGGAGATCGAATATAACTCGTCAGGAAACTAAACCTGACAAAATGGGAATCGAGGCGAGGAGCATTGCTTCCCATTCTAAATTATTTGCAATTTATTTTTTTCTTTTGTTAATTTTGGGAAAAGGAGTTCGCGTCGGTGCATATTTTTAACTTACTGCTGGTTTTGTGGTGGTTCATGCGGTGGAATCAAGCTGGGTATGTCTTAGATGTAGTTCTGGCTGTGAACATCGGTCCTGTACTCATAGTGGATTTGGAGCTTTAGCTTAGGACTTGAATAAAACAACAACAACACTTAGGAGCATAATTGGTAAGGCGTTTGGAGATCTTACATACCCTGTGTTAGTAGTTCCATATTAGTGTGTATCGAGAGCTAGGTCGTAGCAGAAGGAGAGAGTGCTAACAAGCAGTCGCAATACACGTCCCGCATTGTTTACCCAATACATTATCAAATCTACTTCCAGTAGTCCTATATTAGTTGTTTAAAGGAATCATATTCTAATACAGACCTTTGCATCGTTTTGGACGATACTTCTGCCACCACCCTTCCCTAAGCTCTTGGGGGAATATTCTCAATAACTGTTAGCGGTGTCCCCTACAAGCCCTTAGCTTTCTCTGTAGAGTCTGCAGAGTTGAGATCTAGTAACGCATTCATCCTCATTTCGACTAGAATACCAACCACTCTCGCGGCCCGTATCGTCTTTATATCTCTGTACAAATATATAGTATCATTACCATGAAGCTGACCACGGTCAGATCAGGTGGCGGGGTCGAAGTCCTTCTTATCGTCCTCCCTTGATCATGGAGGAAAAGCAGTCCGATGAGTTTCCGGAGCGTAACTAGCATCCCATACGGAGATGGTAGAATGGATCAAGTCGGCCTCGACTGTCACAAAGAAGGAAGATATAGATGAATATGTGCACCTCATGTGGTCCCGGTGTCTAGGCCTCGCCTGGCTGTGACTACAAGTTTTTTGAGACTTTTTCCCGCGCACGCAGTTTCCATTGTTGCCATTTTTCTAGGGTAGGAGGTGTTGTGGAAAAAGTGACTGAATTCCACGGCCACATACTGAGCTATATGTCTATTTATCTTGGGCAGTGTGTCGTAGATCTTTCTAGTAACAAAAGAGGATTGGAGTACTGTACAAGGTGCGGTCTGGTATAGAGGGGAATCCTGTTTGAAAGATAGCCTTTGAATTAAATAGTTTAATAAACCAAACACAGATAAACACAGACAAGGTTGTGGTGGCATCATTTACCGTCTGATATGGGCTAAGCCTTCATTATCTAGGATATAAGACTCATAAAGAACATCTAGAATACATGATCCTCTACGGTACAGTATTGCCCATCCAGTAGCAGAATTTCCCAAATACCTGTCTTTGGGCCAGCTGGTTAGATCGGGTTAGATAGGTAGAAATATTTACTTTATGAACTTCAGGTCATAGTTCGAGGAAAAACCCATCGGAAAAACTTCGGCCATTTGTCCCATACTCATTTTCAACGAGCAGCCTCGGCCACATCGACAATCAGTCATGAGGAGTTTAACCTAACCCTTCTAGAAGGCCAATCAGCACTTGATCATTAAAACCGACAGCTTTAAACGTAAGATATTGCCACCACTTAGATACGTTGATTAATTGAGCCCTTCGCTCTATCTCAGAGATAGTCATGGGAGTTCGTGAAAGAGGTGCCGAGGATGGGGTGATGTGACGAAGCCGACAGGTACTCGCGTGGATGAGCGAGGAGCTTGAAAGGAGTGACGGAGACTCTTCTTAGCTATCTTAGACATGAGAATATACTATACTTTAACACTGGCACCGCTGACGGTGAAAAGTTCGTATTTGATGGCCAACTTATGAAGTATTGCTAGTGGAAGCCGTGAAGACAGGTATAGTCACGTTATCTGAAGGCTAGCGCGAGAAATAATGAAGGTGATGGAGCGATATTGATGTAATTGTAGACAACTGATTACCCTCATCTCAAAACTACCACTTTCTGATCTCATTTTCTGATACATATCAACGGCCAAATTTCTTGCATACTCAGATTAATCAACTACCATTTCAAGTACATTTTTACCCACTTGTAACAGTTTCTGTAAGACATACTGGTAGAAAAACTTACAAGGTCGAAACGTAAAGCGATGACTACTGCAGATGAGCCATCCATAACTCTTTCGCACTTACATCGCGCAGATGGCTCGGCGACCTTTTCGCGGAATGGATTCACCGTGATTGGCGCCGTAAATGGCCCACTGGAAGTTTCTCGACGCGATGAAATTCCTGACAAGGCCGTAGTCGATGTAATTATACGACCTGCAGTTGGTTCTGGAGGTGTGTACGCTTGAGTTAAGAGAGATAGCAAAAACTAGGTGTCTATCTCTAACCCGTCATTTTCTCAAAGATACCCGGGAACGATACCTCGAATCCATTCTCCAGTCTTCACTGCGTCAAATAATACTCGTACAAGACTTTCCGCGAAGCCTAATTCAAATCACACTTCAAGTTATTGACACCCCTGAGAATGACTTTTCTGCTCAAAGGGGTGTACGAGATATTTCGGTCTGTTATTCAAAATGATTTATCTTTCTAAAATCTCCACTAATACAGCTTCATTTAGTCCCTAGCCTTAATTCCAGCTCTAATTCAAACTGCAATCCTATCTCTACTATCTGCTTCAATTCCTATGATACTGACATTAACGTCAATTCATATCTCTGTTCAACCTACCGGTTCCTTTACTCGTATCATTCCGAATCCATCAATTTCTCAGATGCTTGAAGCAAAATCTATTCATGTGCTTGCTTTTACTTCTCAGGGAGATTTGTTACTTGCGGAAAGCGAGGGATCCTTTATGATGACCGAGTGGAACGAAATTTATAACACTGGGAAGCAAATTTGTTGTGAAGGAGATAAGGGTGAAGGCCAAAGCGGATCAATCAACCACATTACTTCGAACATCCATTCGAAGATCAGTGAAGAACTGCATTGGCAGCAGTGAAAATCGCATAATCAGTAAATTCTCGAAACCAAAATTCGCACCCAACCTCGGGTAATTAAAATAATAATGAACCTAATTTCTAGAAAACCTACAATTTTGTAAGACAAGTTTGATTCACATGATTGCCAAATAATTTACACTAGCTACACCAGATGAAGCAGCGATATATCTCTCCAGATAATCAGTAAGAGTTTTGGTACCACCGACAGTGTAGATAATCTTAACCCCATATAGAAGTGTAAAATCTTTCGCATTCTAATCGTATTAGCTAAGATTATTTGCTACCAACTCTTGTCTATGTCATATAAACATAATAATACCTCAAGTATGTGTCAGCATGAATAAATCGAGACATAAGTAATTATATAGTTATCCAAACTTGATTGATTTCACAGTGGTTTTGATCTTTTTTGAGTCGTGCAATTGCGCAGTTCGTGAGATCAGTCACGTGCCAGACAGCCAAGTGCCAACCGAAAATCCCTTCTTTCCTACACGCCCTTGAGCACCTCAATATCTTAAAAGATTCAGTGTAGTCAACTAACATAATTAACACAGGCTAAACAAATTTTTGGCTTTTACGTTACGAAAATTGAGGTGAAATTTCCACAGTGCCATGATCAAGTTCAGAACAGAAAGCTATCAAGAGGGTCGTTGGCACGTCATTTGGTAGAAAATCTTACCTGCAAAGGTTTGTCGACTTTGCAACCCAACAAAATCATCCATCGCCACCTCAAACACGAACCGAAGATAGATTCAACGCTATTTGATGTTGGTATTATAATAACAGGTAGTCTTGAAATTGCCTATCTTTCCTGATAGCTCCTTCTCGGCGAATCTCATCTCGAGAAACTCTATATATTTATCTTACTACCTACCTAAGCACTCTACAGCTTAAAACAAGATACAACGCAGGCATACAATGGAAAAATAATGTCTGAAAGATAAGAAAAGATGTTGAATTAAGGTATGACTAGGCCTTAACAGTGATAAGAAATTGGTGACTGGGAGGGTCCCAAGGTCTTTGATGCGCGGTGGCCGAATGTGAGGAATTTGAGTTTCAGCGCGTGAAAGTCAAATTTGCTGCACGGTTAGACTTGATATGTTAAACACATGAGTATAGTTGGAGGTGGTCCAGCCATTCAAGTGGGACGAGGTTAATGTATTTAATGATGGTTAACCTGATGTAGCTTGGATTCACTCATGTTTAGCCTTCTGGTGGAATGCGGGGGAAATCAATCATCCAGCATATTGATATACAAATGATTCCTAATAAATGATAATACTCGTCTTATCGTCGGGATGTAGAGTGGGCCATTCAAGGCCGTATAACATGATTTCGTCGGTCTATTCAGCCCAAAGCCAGGGAACTATTCTCAACACCTGTCAGTGGTGTCCCCTACGAACCTCCAGCTCTCGCTGAAGAGTCTGCAGAGCCGAGATTGAGTATCAAAGTCCTAACTTCGACGAGGATTATCAATCACTTTTGCGGTCTACATCTTCTTCATCTCCTAACACATTCCCCTATCACTATTATCATGTAGCTAAACACGATCAGATCAGATGGTAGGGTCGGAGCCCTACTCATCACCCATCCTTGATCATGGAAGAAAAGCAGTCCGATGAGTTTCCGGAGCGTAACTAGCATCCGATACAGAGATGGTAGAATGGATCAAGTCGGCCTCGAATGTTACAAAGAAGGGAGATATAGATGAATATGTGCACCTCATGTGGTCCCGGTGTCTAGGCCTCGCCTGGCTGTGACTACAAGGTTTTTGAGACTTTTTCCCGCGCACGCAGTTTCCATTGTTGCCATTTTTCTAGGGTAGGAGGTGTTGTGGAAAAAGTGACTGAATTCCACGGCCACATACTGAGCTATATGTCTATTTATCTTGGGCAGTGTGTCGTAGATCTTTCTAGTAACACAAGAGGCAAGGAGCACTGTACAAGGTGTAGCCTGGGTCAGAGAGGAGCACAATGTGCTAGATAGTCTATGACTCAAGTAGTACAATAAAAACACACTCATTCACCCTCACAATATTTTGAAATTCGAGTTTTCTAATCTTCACCTTTTTCCCCTGTCCCTCCCTCTCGCGCTAGTCGCATTCCCTGAATAAATTGTAATCGACTCGCTGTCATTTTTATCCATCTGTTCGAAAAAAGCTCCTCAACGCAATGTTGGACAACGCGAGAGTCCGCCCGAGGGCTCCCGCAAAAACATCTGACCTCGCGCAAAAATATCAAGCATGCTTGCGAGTGAGACCTTCATCAAAGAGAAGTCTCCAAACCTTTCCGATAAAAAGATGACTGATTCTGAGCCCGTCAGGTCAGAGAAAATTGGTCCCAAGGCCAACATTCCCATCGAGCTTGCCCTAGAGGTAAGCACTTCATGGAAAGGAAAGGAAGTCGTTCGAGAGAAGACGACAGAAAAAGCAGAAACATCTGCAAGAAAATTCACTGTGCCAGCTCCAAAATGCACAGCTTCGACATCAGCACCGGAATATCCTACGGAGCTGCAATCAGTGATGGAGGCCGAGAAGCGTCGCACGACGCAAATCAAGGCCCGTCTATCAATCTGTTCTACTGCAATAAGCAGTGCTGAAGCAGCACTCTCGCCTCTGTTGATTGGCGACGAAAAAGAGTTTGTAGACGGTATCAAAGTCTACCTTCGAGCGGCCATTGGCCAGTTCATACTATCAGGCCCAGGGAGTACTCCACCAGCTCTCCCTGTGCGCCCCAGCAACCCTCCTCCGCCAAGGGCTTAAGAAAAAAGGGTACCTAACCCTTCGACAACCCAGGCTCCGGCCCAAAAGACAACTTGGGCGAATGTAGCCCTAGCAGGCCTTGACTACAGTACTGGGCCATCAACAAAAAAGGCAGCCCCGCCCGCTCCAAAAGTAAAGGGTGCCAATACGAGGACAGCGATCGATACGCGACTGTTTCTACGCCTCGCATACGACCACCCCCACCGACTCCTTTCACCAGCTGGCGTAAGATCAGCTGTCATAGAGGCTCTCGGTACCGCAGCCAACAATATCACGTTGCTTCAGTGGGTAAAAACAGGCTTTGCACTAACAGCAATGGATGAACTCGCTCGAAAAGAGCTCCTTGATTTCTTCGTAGAACGGAAAGAATCAGGAATTAAACTGGGACCAGCGTCAAATCTGGTTGCCCTACTAATTGCCACCGTCCCGTTGAGAATAAATACACTCACAGGTGTTCTAATTAAGGCAGCAACATGACTGCAGTAGACAAATAGTACATATTAGAATAATATGCACTGGCGCCATGAGATATGATTAACCCATATCATCACTCACTGGCATGAATAGTAATTAGCCAATAGATGCCTGACAGCATACATTGGCTTCAGGATTTCCAACAACCTTCCCATTTTGGTAAGATTAGGAAGTTTATTGGAGTTCACACTAGTGTGCGGAAAACCCCGCTTTCATGTATACAGAGGAACTTCTCGCCTCACATATAGAATTACAGCAATTTAATCACAATTAACTATCCATTAAACATCAGTAAACTTCTTCGTACAGTAAACACATTTATCGTATCTCTTAATCAAACTCAAGGCTAGTGTGTAATTCTTCCAATCTCCGGAACCATTCTAATTACAGGTTTCGTTTTTATTACGGAAAAGATGGTCACCGAAGAAGTCATGCGAGTGACCAAATCAGTTCCTTTTCTTGTTCGTCCTCACGGAACCAGCAAACCCAGGGCGCCATAACAGAACTGGCAAGCGCTCTTCCCTCGCGAATCCACGCCCCGACCTGGATTTCGCCTCTTCGATGACTTCGGAGCTGCAAAGCTCTTCCAAGCTCGTCGAAAAATTGTTCAATGCAATCGATGTCTTGGCTTCCATGCCTCACGCGGCTGCTCCCGCGCTCCGGATTGCTGGAACTGCTGATCAAAAATTCAATCCAAAGAGGAGCTTAAAGCCCCTACACGGTGTCGAAACTGTGGGGGATCTCATCGATCGGATTCGCGGTTATGCAAAGCCAGACCCAGCAAGTTCTGATCGGTGAAAAAAGAGCAGCTTGCGATGGTAGTTCGAGCAGAAAAATTACGCAGATTTTGCTTGCATCAGAGCTGCAGCCGAAATAGCCATTCAGGCGATTCACGGCGTGAAGAACGACGTCTATATGTCAGACGGATCGGGTTTTGGGATTCTGGAATGTGAAGAAGAGGTTTGAGGTTACGGTCAGCCTTAGTGAAGTCGTCGAGGCTTCAACACACTAACAGTAGGACACCAGATGGAAAAAAGGGTGCCTACGAGCTCATCTTCTATTCTCAGCGAAGGTCAGAAAGTCTCACTTGGAAGATGTGACAGGAAAGGGAACGGGCGAGAAGCGCGGAATCCGGACCTAATTGGGATTACTTCTGAATTTGATATATGTTTTTGATTTTTGTTTATGATTTAAGTTTTGCTGTTAACACCATTATTTATGTGGAAGTTCACGCGGTTGGAATGAGTTGGGCCTGTAAGCAGTGATCCCCGCCGGCTTCACCAGTCTTGTACTGATAGTGGACCTACAGCTTTAGCTTAGGACTTTAATATAAAAAACAAAACAGATGACGGTAATCTTATATCAAAAAATGCATCGCCAACGTTAGGCTTTGCTCGACAACTGGTGGAATGAAACTTGCCCACCACGGTATCGCGAGCTTGATCTTCTATTGCGCTGTCGCAAATCACCGGAGCTAGGTCTTTCTGGACAATTATTACGAAATCTTAGTGCAGCCCGTGCTGGCCACGGAAATTTTGCGGCGCACCATCGTTGTTTTAATAATTCACACGCTTTCACAGAGTGCACCTGTGGGGAGGAAACCACCCCTGCGCACTTCATACATTGTTGACTCAACGCAAATATCACGCGTCGAATCAGGGGGTCAATGTCATACAGTGTCCTTCTACAAAAGCTATTCGGAGTAAAGTGATTCGAGAACTTCAAAAAATTTGCGCATGATATCAATGGTTTTGTATATTTTCT